GTGAGCTGAGCTGGCTGGACAGAAAGCAGGCACCTCTGCGGTATGCAGAGAGAGAGATAAGCAGAAGGACCAGTCTGCATACTTCTATTAAGATAGCATATGAATAAATTTAGGTTGCTTCAGGTTTTGATATGTAAACTTTTGTACCTGGGGGGGGGGGAGGCGCATCACAGCCTCTTATTTTGAGGCTCCTACCCTATTGACATTCCTGGAGCTGACTGGCTCTGCCATCCTATTTCATTCAACAGTTCTACAGGAAACACAATGCAAGGAAACAGGAAATTGTCAGTGAAAGATTACATTAGCAGGCCTTATTTGCATCACTTAGAGCCAATTGAAGGGAAAAGGAATTAGCATAGCCAGCTCTGAACATATCAGTACCTGGAAACAGGGGCTGCTTTAAGTAACACAGAGACAGGAACTGGGATTTCGCTCAGCAGGTATAAGCACCTGCCTTGCAAGCATGTGGTCATGAGTTCAATCCCTGGTACTGATTAAAAAAATAAATAAATAACATAGAGATAATAGTTCCACATTTAAGCAGAGCCCTCCACTTGGTCATTCTACACAAATGATTCAAATTTATCCTTCTTTATGACCTAGTTGTATTTCATTGTCTATATGTACTCCTTTTTTTTTTGTAGTACCAGGGAGCAAACTCACAACCTTGTGTTGCCAGACAGGTGCTTATGCCACTGAGCTAAATCCCTGGCCCAGTGTAATACATTTTTAAGTGTGTAATTTTTTAAAGGAAATGTGTTAGAATTGTACATCTGGAAAAGCAAGAGAATACTGTCAGTGTAGCTTTGAAAAGTGGGGAAAGAAACATATCTGTAACATGCTTGCTTTAGATGTCAGTGGGCCTTCCAGGGAGAACTGGGTAGTCAATCATCTCTAAACTAAATCCTTCCCCTTAAAAAAAAAAAAGATAATTGAAAGGGTTTTGGCCCAGATAGAACACTGTAGCCAGGAAAGCCTCAACTGGAAGCAGGAAGCCCCAATCTCCCCCGCCCCTAGGAAGTTACCTGTGACGCCATCTTCCCGCCTCTGGAGATTTACATATGGTGCCAAACCTAGGACCAATGGGCTACCTGTGCATCCCTAATGCCCGCCTTAGGTTCCACCCCAAACCGAGGCTATTTACATGCCCCCACACCAGGTGTCTGCCAGAGAGATCGACGGACGCCAGCGGTGGGGTGCTGGTCACCTCCGTGTTCTCAGAATAAAGGCTGCTTTTTATTTTATACTTCTCATCTTTTGGAAATATTTTTCATCTTTTGGAAATAATCCTAGCAATAATTATTTTTGGTAAAATTGTAAGCACTAAATCCTGCTCAGATTGGAAACAAAAGGCTTTGGGTGAAAGCACTTCATCCTGAGCCAAGGGATTTATATCTCAGTTGATACCACTGAGGCAGAGAGAGGGTGTGCCTTAGGCCTGGCGGGATCCCAGCCATTAGACCGCTCCACCTCGCAGGCCCGGGATGTGGGACTTCTCCGGGCTCCCGTGAGACATGCAGGGCACAAAGAGCCCGGGTGTTGTGTCTGCCAATAATAGGCTGTACTTCTCTTCTCTCCCTCCCCATACCTCCTCTCCCCATCTTCTTTCTCTTCTGGTTTCCTCTGTTGTTTTACCCAATTTCACTCTGAGGGCCACTTTCTTCTTTCTCCCCCGCTTCCAAATAAACTCTGGGCATAGCTTTTGGTTGTCTTGTTCAACTCCTTGCTCGAGGGCCTGGGATGCATGGAACTAGGGGCCATTTCTAACCGGAATCGCCCGAGCGCACCGCGAGCGCGCCCTGCCGGGACCTGCTAACCTGGGGCCCAGGAGAGAGGTCGGGGAGCCGCAAGTCCCTGCCCAGCCCGCCACCAGGCCGGCCTTCCGGTCACCGGCCCTGCGCACTGTGCAGAGGGCAGCGTGGGACCGCTGCTTCTCCTCTGCAGTCTTTCAGGGATGCTTCAAAGGGGAGGTGCCTCGCGCTTCCGGTCTTCAGTAACAGCTGCAGGAAACGCTGAGGTCCATGCTGAGCTCCACGCACCTCGCCTCCGGGCACAGGGAGGGTGGGATTCGAAGGCCAGGGACCCCGCACTGGCCTTCACCGTGAGGCACACCAATCCAGGGAGAATCTGACTCTCGAGAGTCACAAAGGACTCCCCACCCCCGCGAGGTGCATGTTTTCGGGATGATGTTGACACTGGCAAGAAGGTGAGTTAAACGGAAAGGAATACCCCTTTGGAAACCTCCACGGCCTGCCTTCTGCTTCCACTGCAGCGTCCGGGCGTGGGAACCCAGCCCAAGGATGCCCGGCTAGTGCATGTGGCCGACTGTCCTGGAAGGAAGTCTCGGTCCATGACAGGTTGACCCTGGTCGAGGCACACACCACAGCAGCACGTGGAAGAACCTCTCCCTGCACGGCCAGGAAGTGAAAAGGAGAACAGAGAGACCTGGTCCCACAGTCCCCTCCAAGGGCGTGTCCCCAGTGGCCATAGACCTCATGGTCCTGGTGCCTTGAGGTTTATACCACCTCCCAGGGGTGCTAAGCTGCGATAAAATTTGCAACACAGAGAAAAATAAGCATGCTCATCCCAATCTGAGTGGAGAGCAGCAGCGGAGAGAAATGTACAGTAGACAAGACAGAGCACCCCTGAGCCAGGCACCTCAGGCAGCAAGACTCCAACTTGTGATCCCACCTGGGCATGGTGGCGCATGCCCGTAATCTCAGCACATGGGAGGCTGAGGCAAGAGCATCACCAAGAGTTCGAGGCCAGCCTGAGTGAGGTAAGGTCCTATTTAAAAACAGAACAAAAAACTGCCTCAGAGCACTGTGGTTATAGGTGTGCACCACCCTACCCGGCCTGGTCATCTCTTCCCTAAATCTTTCTTTATTTTTCCGGTTTCAAGGAAGGCTGGGAAAAAAAACAAAAACTGTCATCAGAGGTCATTTGGTTTTGAGTCAAGAGATGCACTGAATAATCTGCGGAGACGGGTCAAAGAGGGTCGGTGCCCTTCAAAGTTCAGTCCTAAAAATAAACGTCACATAATTGGGAACCTGGGCTTGTCTGGGGCAGTTTGACCGCCTGACCCTGGCCCTCGGGCAGTAGGCACCCTGGGATTAGGCTGTGGTTTAGCAGCTTGTCAGCAAAGGCTGGGTCCCTCCTCCCTGCAGAGTGGCAGAGTGACAGTGCTGCCAGTGCTGACTCCTGTCTGTGAGCCCTTGTGCCCCACCCCAGGTGAATTTCAGAAGGAAGGCAGGTCCTGTACCCCAGGCCAATCTGCCTTTGGTTTTTTGGAAAGAATTCTGAGCAGGTGCTGAGGTCCCGCCTGCCTTGCCTGGGGTTTATTCTCTACTGCATTCAATGCCTTGAGAAATTTTTCATTCTGAAGATAGTGCTGGTCCCTGAAAGGGAAATGTTTGAGTTACTTATTAATATTGTAGTGAGATACAATTTCATGTTTCAACTTTGGATTTGGCCCCCTAAGATTAAAAATAAATCCCAGCCTTCAGCCCCCACGACAGTGTTACCATCTGGCACAAGGGTGCAGTGTGTGTTACTAGGATAAGGGACCCTCTTGTAATCCACAAACAAGCCCCCAAACTCGAGTTCAAAAAATGAGGCAAAAACACATTTTAAAAAGCAGCACTGATTTATTTTATCCTGGGCATAGCGACACAGTGCAGTTGGAGATTGCAAAAGCTGTGTGTCGTTTTTCTACACTTGTCACCCTTAAGTATACATCACAGCTCACAAAGTAAGGGTGTATGGGCGTGGATCAGGAAATCTGCTAATGAAGAACACCTTTGTTTTCCTTAGCAGAGGATAGAGTAGCCTAACAGTAATTAACAATCTTTGTTAGCTTATTTTTGTTGTATTCCACTCAAAAAACAAGGCCCCATGATGAAAAACAGGGCAAGACCCCAAGATGACAAACGGGGCAAGACGTCTTTTTTAAAAGAAGCGCTTTTATTTTAGCTGGCCCAGCAACACAGTGCAGATGGAATTTGCAAAGCTGTGCAACTGAGTTAGAGTTCTGACTGATTTTTACAGTTCATTTATGATTAGCTCATTGATCATTAAGTACATAGTGATGAGAAACAGAAACAAGATGGGCCTTTGTTCCCCTTTGCCTGAGGGTAAGAGGCATTTCACAATGGGTGGTTAGCCAATTCATAGCCCTTGGTCTGCCAATTCCAGGAACATTTGTCTCTCATGAAGGGAACAGGTCCTGTTGATGTTGACACAGCATCATTTGTCTCTTACAAGGGCAACAAAAGTTGACATAGCACACAGGTCACTAAGGTGGGGGGGATGACTGCATTACAGAACAGCAGAACACGTGGTCAGTTAATTTATAACTATGAGGTTGGTGCTTGGTTACTAGGGTAATGAGCTCAGTACAGAATGACAACATTACTAATAACTATCTTTTTAAGTAACTATTTTTGTTAATTATCTTTTAATCAATTATTCTAATTTTTAGCATCTTAGTATAACAACTTTAGCACCACATCTGTTATTTGTAGAGGGGCAACAATGGTTAACATATCAATTAGGCTAGGTTTTTAGGTATTTACAACTCTTTACAGAGGGGAACATTGATTAACATATCAATTAGGTCACCCAGAGGAAAAGAAAAACCCGCATATAGAACAGTAGGCCACATTACAGGTATTTTGGTATAATACAAATATAATGAAGCTCTTTTTGCTAGTATACAACATCCCAAGACAGCAGCTCATCCTAGGTTATCCAGTTGGACCCAATATAGCCCACTGGGGTCCTGAAAAGTGGACAGTCTCTGCAGGGCATGCTGGGGCACACCTGTAATCTCAGCTACTCAGGAGGCTGAGGCAGGGAGATTGCAAATTCAAAGCCAGTCTGGGCAACATAGCAAGATTCAGTCTCGAAATAAAAAAATCTTTCAAGAGTGTGGTGCTTACTGCTTGCCATCTGGCAAGCTGCCTGAACCTGTGTTTACCAAGCACCCCGACAGTCACCAGTCATGTGGTTCCACGTTTGTCCAGCCAATTGGACCCTGGCTGAAGAGCCTCCTGGGACCTATCCTTGTGAGGGTCCTTGAGGCCACTGCTCCCTTCTCCTGAAGTCCTGCAGTTGTCACAGATCACACCTGGCAGGAGAAACTTGTCTTCAGGGAGGAAGACACCGTGTCCCAGAGCCATGAAGGTGAGGGAAGCCCTTGCTCTAAGTGGGTGTTGAGAGCAGAGCCCGTCCCCTGGGGCTGAGCTGAGCGGGAGCTGAGGATCCTGGGTCTTCCCCAAGGAAACTGAGGGTGTGGGGAGGAGCAGCCCCTCCCATACCTGCTCCCCAGGACTGCAGTGACCTTTGTCTTTCTCTGTAGATAAAGAGACAGTTGTATCCATCCATGATTCCAACCTGGATGGGGCCAGGTGCAGATTTTACTCACTTTATGAACAACCTGAGTGTTGGGGATGCTGTCTTGAGGGCCGGGAACAGAGCTGCCCAAAGCCTCTGACTGGGATCGGAGAAAACTGAAAGCTGGGCCAGGAAACCTGGCATGCACCCCATTATTAATGAAAATGTACTCAAGGACTTCAGCTAGGTGTTTTTTACCCACTCTTGAAGGTTGTTTCCTTATTTTAAAGAGCTGTCCCTCTTTAAATTAAGTTTTAAGTTTTCATTGAATTTGGTAATATTTTGGGAAAACTTAAAGCTGAACTAAGATTTTTATTTGGATAACCAGCTATCACCAAGCTCAGTTGGCTTTTTACCTTTCCCCACTATCTTGTCGGGTTCAGGACATAGTACCCCACAATCCAGCACTGTGACATTTGAGATAACAGCAGAAGCAGGAAGGTCACCCTGGCCTTGACAGACAAGAAATCTGTCTGTCTCTCTCTCTCTCTCATAGTTCCCAAAACCCTCACTCTGGAAGTGCCCTCCGTGCCCCCAAAGTCAAGCAAAGCCCCTGAACGCCCAGAAGCACCAAGTTGAATCCAGGCTGACCTTGGTGAGCTGCCCCATCCTCATTAACAGGGGTGGTGGCAAACACCTGTAATCCCAGCACTCGGGAGGCTGAGGCAGGAGATCACTGTGAGTTCAAAGCCAGCCAAGTACATACTGAACTACATAGGAAGACCTCATCTCCCAAAAATGCATGCATCTACCTGTTTCTTTGGGTCTTCATTTCCAAAGGCTCCTATGTCTCATAAAACATGTGTTACTTAAATGTGTAGATTTGTCTCGTTCCTGTCTTTTACTAGCGGGGCCTCAACCATGAGCCCATGGGCAGGTGAGAGAAGAGAAATCTCAGAAGGATCTAACCTTTTGAAATAACCTTTGAATAACCTTTTGAAACCAGAATACATCTCCTCTAAGGGTATTTTGTATCTTGTTCATTAATGTTTCTACGTGTCTTCACAATGTGACCAACCTTTCCACTAGGTACCTGTCCTGCATCAGGTAAGGTTTTCAGATGTTAGGCCATTCCACTAGGATGTGTATTACACAAATGGATGCATTTTTACCTGTGTGTGGATGATTAAATGGTATCTCTATAAACATTCAGTTAATATGGCTGTTTGGGACTATTAAATGACATGAAGTGGTTAATATATTGATGCACTGCTTTTTTTATTTATGTGTGACACTGAGTAAAGTTTTTACACAAAAGACTGATTTTATTAAATAACATTTGCATAAATTACAGGTGGTCTAATTGCATCAGAGCCCGAAATTCCTCCCCCATTTACAGTTTCCATTTGACTATATTTAACAAAAAATTCCAAAATCCTCCCTGAAGTACAACTAATAAATCTGAATTTTATTTTCTTAAATGTTAAGAAGAAAAAAACAGTTGTCTAAGGCTCAAAGTGACTTCTTTCCCTACTCTTCCACTCTTTAATCTGCTTTTCAGAGTTTTGTTTCCTGTGTCACAGTACTGCTACAGGACTCACCACACTCTGCTGAGCCTGCAGCCATGGATGATAAAGTATCTAGAGAAATCCAAAGACTCACATGGGAAAAACACCACAGAACCCTTTCCAAATGTGTGCTCAGGGAACAGCTCAGCTCCTCTAGTATGAGAAAATAAAAATCACCCTTTCTTCCCGCCCCAGGTGAACTTCCCAAAGCTCGCCTTGGCTATACCTGGCCGTCCACCTTTAGGCAGCTGTTTTAAATCCTGTTTTTTGAGTTGGCTGCTGGGTGGCAGAAGTCACTGCTTGGGGCTTGGGAGCCCCAGGCCATTCGGTGACAACAGGTGGGGGGGTCCTTTCTTTGGGCTCCTCTAGACAATAGGCCACTTCCTGTTTATCTAGACCTAGGACAATGGGAGAAAATACCCTTGGCATATTGCGCCAGAGGAGTCCAGCCCCAGATGGGCGGTCTTTGCCCATAGTGGCCAAGGATATGGCTGCCCTGCAGGGCTCCCTAAGAACCCTATCACCCTCATCCAGGTGGCCTGCTTATGTCCTCTGTGCTACATGACCATCATGGAGGACACAGCCTAGAGGACAAGGCCCCTGCTGCTCATCCTGAGGAAGCCTCAGACCTACAAGGTGAGCACCAGGATGGGGTGGCATCCACACCGGCACTCAACGCTCCCCGGGACCAGACAGACCCCCGCCCTCTCCAGGGTCTCAGCCCCCAACATGGTGACCTCCCGGCCCCTCCTCTGGGCCACGGGGTGCAGACCGAATGTGAAGTCTCAGGAGAGCCAGGTTAGAGTTTAAAACACACCCCAAAGCGCAATTTAAAGTATCCAGAGAGGGACCGGGCAGTATCCAGAGCTTAGCAGTATAAGTACCTGTGTGGCAAGTGCAAGGTTATGAGTTTGATTCCCGGTACCCTAAAAAACAAAATTAAAAAAATAAATAAAGCATCTGGAGACAGCAGTCTGTATAAACCCAAGGAACGTTATTCTCAGTAAAGGAAGAACACACGGAGGTGTTTTCCCAGTGGCAGCAAAGCCCTCCTCTGTACAGTCCATAGAAATGCTCTTTCCACAGTCCCTTAGCCCTGGTGCCTGAGCAGTGAACTCAGTCTCAGAATTTGGTCATTCAGTTGCAATTTTTTTTTGTCTTTTTCTTTTTTATTGGTACCGGGGATCGAACTTATGACTGCCTGCTTGCAAGGCAGGCGCTTATCCCCACCCCCTGAATGTGCATTCTTTGAAAACAAGAATACATAAAGGAGCCTGAGGATATTCATGTATAATTTATCAAGTCTCAAACCCACGGAGGACTTGACAAATTTGAAACTTTTCCCCTTTGCTTTTTTAACAGAACAATTTTTTTTTTTTTTTTGTCTTTTTCATTTTTATCGGTACCGGGGATCGAACTCACGACTGCCTGCTTTCAAGGCAGGTGCTTATGCCACTGAGCTAAATCCCCAGCTCTCCCCTTTGCATTTTTGAGACAGAGTCTTACTCTGTAGTCCAGCCTGGCCCTGAATTCACTATGTCACCCAGACTGGCCTCGAACTCATGGCGATCCACTTGCCTCAGCTCCTGAGTGCCGGGGTCATAGGAGTAGGCCACCACACTCAGCTTGAAAGTTATTTTTTTTAAACAACCCCAACCACAGTGGTTCCTAGGCTTTGACGTGAAGCATGTCATAACCCCTGAAGGACACGACCCACACACAAGGACTCAGCTCCACAGACGGCGAGTGCAGGCTTCCAGAGGACGACCTCAAAGCTGGAGGCTGAAAGATACCTTGGTGGTGTAGCTGGGAACAGATTCTGTAACAACAATGACAACAAAAACACGCAGTAAATACACACAGCTCCAGCTAAGCAGTTCCCAACCCTTTTACTACGAAACGCAACTCCGCACCACAGCTGATGCACAGCCACACAAGTCTCTGGGAGAGCTGCCGGCCCGGGCTGCTGTGTCTTCCACAGCCGGGCAGCCAGGTGCACAGCGTTTGGATCTGAGGTGAAGAAGCACCTATCGCCCTTCTCTGGATCCTTCCGGTCAGCTCACACAGCTACTGCAAGGTTTTAGGGTCCAACAGCAATAAATATCCAGCCGCCAAATAGCAGCTCAGAGCCATGGGCCCAGGGACAGCAGGCTGGGAGGCAGCATGCTTTTTCTTTTGTCATGGCTGCTGTTTTCTTTGGCAGTGTGGTTTCCAGGACAAGCCCGGCCATTCCTCCCCTTTCCCCCACCACAGGATCTTCCCGAACCGACAGCCATGCCCTTGTCCAGAGATGGTCCAGACCGGTAGTTCTCCCAATGTGGCTCTCAGCACCCACAATGCAATGTCACCTGAGTGACCATAGCATCGTGCAGCCTCCGGGCCTCGTGCCTGTTACACTCTGACCCAGTGTCCGCTGCAGAGAACTGTCAGGCCTTCCACCCTGAGCACCCAGGACCGAGAGAGGTGTAGGTCCACGAGCCCAGCTACATCTGCTTTGTCCCGACAGGCAGGACTCTTGGACTGACTCAGACACAGCTCTGATGGCAAAAGAGGGACAAGGGGCACTGCACCATGAAGTAAATTTTGTCTGGGCAGGATGGCGCATGCACGCCTATGATCCCAGCACTTGGGAAGCTGAGGCAGGAGGATCGCTTCAAAGTTAAGGCCAGCTTGGGTCACACAGTGAATCCTGTCTCAAGACCAAAAACAAAACAGAAAGCAAAAAAAAAAAAAAAAGAGTATATTTTTCCATCTGTGTGTCAGACAGGTGATGACATAGCCAGAATTCAGGTCACTAGGAAAATTTTCATCCTTTTAGGGGTTGGGGGGAGGTGAATGATTGATTACAAAGTAACCTGCCCCCTATCGGTTTCGCTTCTGTCCATTTGACAAGAAAGAACACACTGCACGATCCATTTTACATAATTTCAGACATAGGCAACCCACCTCTCTCTCGAAGATCTTCAATGTAGGCCTTCATAAATTCCTTATCGAAGTGCCGGCGGTCCTGCTCGCTTTCCGCAATCTCCTCTTCCTCCTCCTGGCCAGGCTTAGCGATAGGGTTGTCCATGAGGCTGACGAACCTACTCGGGAAAGCACGGAGGAGCTCACATCGCCGTCACACAGAGCACCTGCAGACCGCGCACCCAGAGGCCACCCATGGGGTTCAGGACCCCAAGATCTCTCTTATCCTTGAGAGCCAGCCCCACAGTCCGAACCTCACAGTGGAAATGGGCAGTGGAAAAGCCCAACGGGAGCTGGGGGTCAGGTTGTCTAGAGCTTCGCCAGGGGCACAGGAGCTGTCTGGTGGCAGGGAGGCCAGAAGTGGACACCCACACTTTCTCTGTGTCAGACTCTGAACTCTAAGGTGTCAAACTCTGCCCCACAGCCACTGACATCAGAGGATTCAGAAAACAGCCCAGAAGTGAAGTTCTGAACTACTACTGCCCAGTGTGGGGGCAAAGGCCTGTCACTCGGGAGGCTGAGGCAGGAGGAGTATGAGGCCAGCCTGGATTACGCAGTGAATTCAAGACCAGCCTAGACTACAAAGCCAGAGTTTTGTCTTTAAAAAAAAAAAAAATTACTACTACAAAAAAGGAACTAAAAGAGAAATCAAAATCACATTGGATCTTCTGCCTTCACGATTCATAAAGACATTTTAATGTGTAAGATGATATAATTATTCCAATTCAAAATCGGAAATCACTTACATAGTCTTTGGCTGCAATTATAGCCCACCTCTCTGGGAGTGTTACCATGTTCTCATTGGTTCACAAGCAGTGAGATATAAACACATATCCATATAAATATTGATATAGCTATATACAGACTACACAAATGAGGTGGGATAAAAACATGGTGTTTACATTTTCCAAAATGTATTCCAGTCCAGTAAAACACACATCACCATGGACCCTCCAAATGCCCCCTCTTACTTCTCGCCACTTTCCACAGCCGCTTGGAGCCCTCCTTCCTGAGGTCGTTAGCTGCACTGGCCTGGCTGCCTCAGTGTCTTAAATCGCTTCAAAACGCTGAGCTTTCATGGTCACGTGGACTCTGAGGAACAGCCAGGAGTTGCACAGTGCCAGATCCAGTGAATAAGGAGGAGGAGGAAGAGGAGGACAGGGGGTCACGTTTTTAGGACCCTGCCTTTCTGTTGGATGGCACCTGGCGGCCGGTCACCGTATTTTTGATCACAGAGTGAAAAAACACTCAGGAAAGAGGATTTCCAGACGTGCATCAAGAAGAAGCCAGAGCGATGGGATGAGTGTTCGGGGAGCGAGAAGGAGGGCTGTGAGAGGCTGGAGGCTGTGGGTGTTTTATTGTGATACGGACTTTTTTTTTTTTTTTAACAATACGTATGCTGCCAGGGATTTAGCTCAGTGGCTTAAGCGCCTCCTGGTGAGCATAAAGTCGTGAGTTCAATCCCCGGTACCAAAAAACAAAAAAAATCCCATGCATATTTTAATATTTGTGTAGCAACTTAGAGCTATAAATATCACACAGTAAAAAATTATCACAAACTAAATACAAAAGGAAAGAAAAAGTTTATGTATCTATATTATACTGACACATTTATAATAAATTAGAGCAAATAGATCCATCACAGCACACAAAGCTGCTAAGGGGAATAGCGAAAGAAATCTGTCATGTAGATCTTTAATTTATATTTAATAGATTGTGCAGTATCAAATGATATCGAAAGTCTAAAAAAAGCCAAGAGTTTGTATAGCAACATTATTTATACATTATTGTTTTATATACCATGAAAAGCATAAGGTCAAAAGTGGAGTACAGGGGGCTGGGGATTTAGCTCAGTAGCTTAATCGCCTGCCTGGCAAGCAGGAGGTCAGGAGTTCGATCCTTGGCACCCCCCCAAAAAAAAGTGGAGTTTAAAAAAAAGTTATTCTTTTGATAATAGCCAGAAAAAATGTCCTGTCCCAAGAAAGAAGCAATTTAAAGGCACACATAGCCTTCTGGAGAATTTTCCTGTGGCTCTCATCCAACCTTGGTTACCACCTGCCAAGAAGTGGGCCAACAGGGGAATAGGGGGGAGTAACTGTCTTTTCCAGCAACATTAGTTACTAAGCACGTGTGTGAACAGCCTGCAGAACTCCAGGTCTGTTTGCAGCGGTCAAAACGAGGAGGACTTCACTTCCTGTCTACCCTTGTGGACCACAGTGTCTACTGAGGAGGAGGGCAGGGCTGGGTCACCCAGTATGAAAAGCTGAGCTCAAGTCTTCACGAGATTCTGCCACTTCCCTCTGGCCTTGGCTATGCTCCTCTGTCTCCACTGTCTCCTGCTTCAGGAAGACCTGCTTTACCCCAAATGTTCTGGGCTTGTTTTGTTGTTGTTGTTGTTTTGGTATTTTGTTTGGTTTGGTTGATTGATTGGCTTTTGGTCTTTTTGAGACAAGGTCTCAAAAAGCAGTTCAGTCTGGTGTTCCCAAGCTCACTTTGTAGCCCAGGCTGATTTCAAACTTGCCGCGATCCTCCTGCCTCAGCCTCCCCAGGGCTGGCGTGACAGGCATGCACCATCACGCCCAGCTTTCCTCACAAATGTTCTTGAATGTAAAACTATTAAGATTATTCCCAGTGGCCCAAAAGTGGGAAAGGCCTATGCGTCGCTAAACCTTTGCTTGCACGAGCATGAGCATGGCCTCTCTTCCCAATGTCAAGCCTCCTTATTAGTTTGCCTCAGATCTTACTGCAGGAACAGGGAGTCAGAAGTTTAACCACATCGACAGGAAACATTCACCAGCACCTGCAACTGGAACCCCAGGGAAAAGTCCCTGCAATGGTTTTGGTCAGGGTCTGGGGTCACATTGGAGGCAGCCCTGGACACAGACATGGGCTCTCACCAGAGCAGCCTCTCATGAAGAGGCTCTGAGCTGCTAGGGGAGGATAGAAACCTTGGGGTAGAGATGACTGGGAACCACAGAGCCACCAACATTCGCTGTCAGCTGCCTTGGGGTCATTTTAGAAGAGAACGGTGCTGGGGCTTTTCAGTTCCACTTTGGAAAGGAAAGGAAAACTATTTCATTTCTCAGCCCAGGTCACAGTTTGTTTCTTTCACATTTGGGGTTTTTATTGTTGTTGTTTTTGCTTTGGGTGGCCGACCAGCTGACTCAGGTACGTCAAAGGACGAGGGAAGGGAGGAGGGCTCCTTCACGTGCTAGATCCTTCCAGTGTGCAGCCACAGGTCAGCGCTTGCTTCTGACCTCAAGCAGCTGCGTCCCAAGGCAGCCGACAGCTCTTTGTGGCTCTGGGGTTCGCAACCTTTGTCAACAACTTAGGAGCCCCCAAGAACTTGATAGGGCACAGGTTCTCAGTACAAGAACCATCTGACTCAGACAGCAGCCAGCGCCCTGGGCCCTGCCCGCTGGGAATGCTCCCCAGGGCCACCCACAGCACCCACTCACTTTAAAGGCAAGGACCCGTCACAGAGGGCACTTGGAAACTCCACTAAATGGTCCCCACTGACCACCAGCAAGCTGAGCTTCTTGAGGTTGAGCAGGGCGTAGGGCAGGTAGGTCAGCTCGTTTTTATACAGGAGAAAACTCTGGAGCTCTTCCAGCCTAGGGAGGGAGAAAAGGGTCTGAAGAGAACAGCTGGCCTCAGAGTGAATACCAAAGACACTGCAGCAAAAAAGAAAAAAGCCCTGCTCAGTTCAGGGCATCCATGCAGCCTGGGTACTAACAAATTTGTAGCCAGGTGAGTTGGCACATGCCTATGATCCCAGCACTGGGGAGTCTGAGGCAGGAGGATCACCTTGAGTTCCAGGCCAACCTGAACTGCATAGTGAGACCCTTTCCCAGACATCATTTTAAAAAAAATTTTAAATAAAGAAAATCTTGCTAAGTGATGTCACTTTTTTTTTTAAGTTGGCACAGACTTAATCACCAGTTAAAGACACAAATATCACAGCGGGGTGCAAGACCCTTGCAGCATGTGAAATCTTGCCTCCCAGCATCTCCCGTGGGCCCATGGTACCCAGGTTAGCAGGAGAATAAGGAGGCTCGGGCCACTTCCAGTTCTTTCCTCAGCCCTAATGCACCAGCTCTTGCTTATTTCTAACAGGACTCGGGAAAAGAGCTGCAGGGTGAGGAAATGAGGGAGCCACGGCCCCCAGAGCCTGGGTCCTCAACTCCACCCCATTCTAATTTGGTGACCCAGCCCTGATTCTTCTTTCAGTGGCCAGCAGCACCTTAACTGCCACCATAAATATTCCACAAAATTCCTTTCGGGTTTCCAACTGGAATGACTCCCGCTCAGTGCCACCGGAGCACCACCTCTGTACAGGGGTCACTTACGCTTCTTTATAAATAAGATCAGAGATTTCAGAAGGCCACGACCTGTGTCTCATTCACCACTTAAAACCCAGCCGGCCCCCAAACAAGTGCCTAATAGTATTGGTGAACGAATGAATCGATCCTACAGGCTTCCCTGTAACCTTCAGTTTCTAAACACGCAACAGCCACAAGGGAATCACTGGAAAACCTGGCTAAGGAGGTCGATTCTGCGTGCAAGATTAGGTCTGACCAAAACAATGAAACTAACAAAAATGTCCTCACTGATGACCTAAACACAGCGCGGGTTTGGTTTTGTCTTGTTTTGCTTTGAGGCAGGGTCTCACTCTGTAGCCCAGGCTGGCCTTGAACTCCCAGGGATCCTTCTGCCTCAGCCTCCGAATGCTGGAATGCAGGCGTGCACCACCATGCCCGGTGAGAGTGTTTCTATTTTACACGGAGCGGCCCTCCTTCTGCGGTGTAGTGGAAAGCTGACTGTCCCACTGTATGAAAAACTGAAGCAGATTACACACACATGGACACTGTGCTGCAGACTGAACACTCCAGGCCAGGAGCTGCTCCAAAGGGCTCCTCGTGGGCACACATGGCAGTCCATGAACACAGGCGGCCCAGGCCGGGCTGAAGCCCCGCCTGGGCCAGCAGCTACCTGTCTATGTCCTGGGGCAGGTCGCTCAGGTTGTTGCCGCTGATGTCCAGCCATTGCAGCCGGGGCATGCGCAGGACACAGACGGGGACGCTGCAGAACTTGTTTGCAGAGATATCGACGAATGTAACCTGCTTCAAATTACTTAACTGCAAAGGAATAATAAAAAAGTGGGAACCGAGTCGACTAACACTTTGCAGACCAGTGCGTCTTCCGGCTTCCCGGTCCAGAGCATGCGCAGTGCCTCCTCCACCCCCAGCTACCAGGCCCTGCAGGAGGCGGTGCTTACGCGGCAGGGGTGTGCTGTTAAGCAGAGAGAACTGTGTGACTACATCTGGTAACATCTGCCAGCGTCACAGGGGGGCGAACAGGGGTCAGAAAAGACAGCATAGGCCAGGAACGGTGGCACACACCCGTAGTCCCAGCACTCGGGAGGCTGAGGCGGGAGGATTGCTATCAGTTGAAGGCCAGCCTGGGCTATAAAGTGAGTTCAAGACCAAACTGAACTTCAAAGCAAGATCCTAACTCAGAAAACGAAAAGATATCACAGAGGAAAGTAAAAGGGTACTGGAGTGAGGTCCTGAGGCTCCTGGTCAAATGAAAATGTACAGGAGGAAATCCTGGGGTGGGGAGGGGCAGTGTGTGCAACGTCACAGAAGACAGAAAGCACCACGCCTAAGGGTGGAGTGACTTGGAGAAGACTGTGTCAACCAGGCTGACAAATATTTTTTGTTTGTCTCTGATTTTTGAGACAGAGTCTTAGGGCAATGTAGCCCAAGCTGGCCATGACCTCACAGTAATCCTCCTGCTTCAGCCTCCCGAGTGCTGGGATGATAGGCGTGTGCCACCACTCCCGGCCTAACAAATCTTAAAGGAACCCACATTTGAGTTGATAAAATGACACGGCAAGTGCTCAGAAATCTCAACTGTTATGTTTTACATCTGTGATTCTTGTGTTTAATATGTTGACTGAAATACCATGGGAAATACACTTTTATTTCCATGCAACTCTAGGGGTGTGATAAGGAGGAAAGCATCTCTTGTTTGGATTTAGTTGCCTCAGTTTGACAGTCGCTGTGAAACACAAAAGCAGCAGTGTTTTACTGAGGTATGGGGAGAGTGCATACATAAAATCTAGGCTGCTCCTCACAATCTGTTTTCAGTGTTGTCACAAAACAGCGCCTGCCGGGCCAGAAGGGAACAGCTGAAATGGGGAGGGAGGAAGGTGGCAGCCTGAGCCTCTCTTAACACCCATCAGCCTCAGCTGGACTGCACAGCCGCGGTAGAGACCCTATGGGTCTTGTGCACATCCTGATTTTGCTTTTGTTGGGAACCTGGGGAAGTTCGAGGACAGCACATGGTAAACCAAGGTGCTTCCAATTCAAGTGCTTCCAATTCAGACCGCACCTCTACCCGAGGTGCAGCGCTGCTGGGTGAGCAGAGAACTCAGGATCGGATCTCCCTTGGTCTCTCTTTTCGTTACTTTTCCCCATAATCGTAGAAAATGGGTACAAGGCTGGAAAATACCTTACTAAGGATTTTTAAACTATATAGCTGAAGAATTCTGTGAAAACTAGAATAAGGAAAATCTCAGGAGCATTAAGTCAGCAGAGAGAGAAGTTATTTGAAGATGAGAGTAGTTTTCCCATTAGCCACTTTCATCCAGGACAAAATGTAAGCATCATAAAATCATTTCAAAGGTAATTATGCTGGTCTGAAAATCCCCAGGTCCTATAGACCCGAGTGGGAGCACCCAGGCCACTCATCCACATAAGAGCAGCCACGCAGCTGGGTGTAGGGAGCAGCCTGACAGCCCCATTGCTGCCTCCTCGCCTCTCTCTCCTATGGGCACATAATGTGCCTGCCTACATTACCCATAATCCTCTCCTGCTTATGTCGCATACCCGGACATGACGATGACCCATCAGAAACCACCCCGTAGCCTCTTCCTGTCCCACCAGCCTGCCCTTGGCCCATAAAAGCTGCAACCTCTTCCTGAATAAACGAGACTTGATTGGACTCCTCAACTTGTCTCCATCTCTCTTTGTCTCCCCCACCCTGTACTTTATCATCCCCGTTCCCCCTCCAGGTACACCCCACGGATTGATCCACGGGCCGGATCAAGTGGCGCCCAGCGTGGGGGCTCCTGGCACGGGGGAGTTAACGAGGGAGCCGTTAGAGAATGCCGGCTGAAAGTGAAAGTAAACTGAATCAAGGCCGAGGCCTGCGCGGATGACTGCCTGACGTGCTGCCCAAGTCACAGTGAGTGAACGGCAACCCCATCCCCTTTCCTCGACAAGGGGTCAAGCATTGAGCGAACATGAATTGTTCATGGGAGGCCTTAGCAAGGCATTAAAGACAAGAGGGGTAAGGGTTAGAACAAAAGAATTGTTGCAGTATTTTCAGTTTATTCATAAAGTGTGCCCTTGGTTCCCCCTAGAGGGCTCTATAGATACCAAGCAGTGAAAAAGAGTAGGAGATGCTCTAAAAGATTTTTACAGAGTTTTTGGTCCAGAAAAGGTTCCGGTGACCACCTTTGCATCCTGGAATTTAATCTCTGAGCTGCTTACTCAGCGGCATACAGATCCTCAGATTGAGGAGACGGTTGCACAGGGTGAGGCTGCCCTGCGCGACTCCCTTAATCCTACCCCAAAACTGTCCTCAGAAAAATCTGAAGCCTCTGACCTCTGAGACACAGAGGTTGATGGCCTGTTGGAGGACAATCTGCCACTACTTCCTCCTGTTGACATGATTGATAGGTTCCAAGATGGCGGCCCCCCACCGCCCACCCCTCCACGGCCAATTGGAGATTCATATAAGTTTTTATACCCCGACCTCTCTGATTTTCAAGAGGTCGACTGGGAACACCTAGCACAGCAAGCCTCTACATACCACCCTGACCCTGTTGCGGCACCGGCTGCCATTAAGCCGCCCCCTGACTATCATGATGCACTTAATGTCTGCCCTCAACCTTCTAGCACACTAGCGGAATTAGAACAAAGAAAAAGGGATCTGTTAAAACAGATACAGCTAGAAAAAGAATGCCAAAATCTTTCAACTCAATTGCAGGCCCTCCGAGCTACACAGCCTTATAGTTCTCCTAAAATGGCAACTGCCTCTGGCAAGCCTCATGGCACTGTTAAAATGGTGCCTGCATCTGGCAGCCAGCCCAAAATGGCGTTCCCAGTCACGGAGGCTGTTGTTCCCCTGCAGGATGTTGAAGAGGACACTGAACCACAAGCAGTTAGGATACACACACCTCTCACCGTGACAGCCCTAAAAGAGTTAAAGGCCGCAGTCTCTCAATATGGCCCGACTGCCGCCTATACTGTTGCAGTTCTAGATTCTTTGACTCAGGGTTGGATTATTCCTAATGAGTAGAAAGACTTAGCAAAAGCCACCCTCTCTGGAGGCAATTATCTATTATGAAAATCTAAATTTTTTGATCAATATGAGGGCATAGCCAGGGATAACGCCACACAACAAAACCCCTGGACCCTTGCTATGCTTACAGGAACAGGAGATTTTGCCACAAAAGAGTGTCAAATGCGGTTCGAGTTGGGCCTCTTTGCGCAGATTAACGTGGCAGCCACTAGAGCGTGGAAGCAGCTCCCCTCAGGAGGCGAGCCTACCTTGTCTCTCACCCAAATAAAACAAAAGCCTGAGGAGCCCTTTTCAGATTTTGTCGATCACCTCCTACAGGCGGCAGAGAGTCTTTTTGGCTTCACAGAAACAAACTCTTCCCTGGTCAAACAATTGGCTTATGAAAATGCAACCTCAGCTTGTCAAGCTGCAGTTTGACCACATTGCAAAAAGGCGGGCCTATCAGGTTATATTCGCCGATGTGCAGATATTGGGCCTGCTTATCATCAAGGCCTAGCCATGGCCGCCACACAACAAGGTTGCACAGTTAAACAGCTCCTCTTTCGTCCTAAAAAAGATATTACTTGTTTCAAATGTGGCCAAATTGGCCACATGGCTCATGATTGCAAAAGTAAAAATCAAAATCAGTCCTCTACAAAAAAACCAGGGCTATGTCCCAGATACAAACGAGGAGACCACTGGCTTAATGACTGCAGATCCAAAAGGGATGTTCACAGTAACCCTCTTCCCCCACAGGGAAACGGGACATGGGGCCGGCCCCAGGGCCCCAATTCCAGACAAACCCCTGGGGCTCTAAGGTTTGTCCCAGCAAAAAACAATCCATTTTAGACCTCTTCAGGGCAACCCCAGGGAGTGTAGGATTGGACCTCTGTTCCACCTCCAACACAGCATTAACCCTGACATGGGTGTCCAGGTCATCCCCTCAGGAATCTATGGACCCTCTCCCCCCGGGACTTTTGGACTTATTGTTGGACGTAGTAGCACCACGCTTAAAGGATTACAAGTTCTGCCCGGGATAGTAGATAGTGATTACACAGGGGAAATAAAAGTCATGGCTTCTCCCCTTGTTGGTGTCATACCAGTCAGGGCAGGGCAACGCCTTGCTCAATTGCTGCTATTGCCGTTGGCTCAAACGTCTAACAAATACATAACTCCCTATAGGGGGAACTCCTTTCCTGGGACTTCAGATGTATATTGGGCCCAACATATCTCCATAGAAAAGCCCCTCATGACTCTATATTTAGATGAAAAATGTTTCTCAGGCCTCACTGATACAGGCACAGATGTTACCATTATCAAAAAGGAGGAGTGGCCTGCCGCCTGGCCTTTAGAAACAAATTTAACACACCTCCAAGGGATTGGACAATCAAAAAATCCACAACACAGTTCCAAACAATTGGTTTGGAGAGATCAAGTAGGTAATCAGGGACACTTACAACCTTATGTCATAGAGAGTCTGCCTCTTAATTTATGGGGAAGAACTCTCCCAATGGGATTAATTATGAGAAGCCCTAATAACGTTGTCACAGTGCAAATGCTTAACAAGGGCTACCTGCCAAAACAGGGCTTAGAAAAAAAAAACATGGGCATTACTGATCCCATCATGGGCATTACTGATCCCACCCCTAACAATGCCAAAGCTAGGTTAGGCCATTTTCCATAGGGGCCTTGCCCACAGGAGTGTAAGTCATATCAGATAGAGATGCATAGCTCCTGTTATGATGCTGTACAAGAATGTATTGGCTTTGATAATGCCACTTATTTT